TAGAAAAAGGAGGAAAAATGGAGAAGGAAAGGAAGTTGAAGGATTGTACTTGTTGGCTTGAGTTGAAGATGGACAAGAGCTCTTGCAAAGGATCTCAAATAACTATAGTAAAAGTGCTAGAAAGTATTGAAATCTTTAAGGTACGAGGGTAGAAGGTTTGGATGTAAAGTTAAAATGAACAAAATAAGGGGTATTTAGTATTTCAGCGGCGGCTCGCATCCAGGAATGGCCGACCGGCAGCTGACAGGCATTTAATGCCATTAAAACTTGACTGACGAGACGTTTCTGTTGTTTTGTCATTTCTGTCACGGTGTATCGAAGTAAGAATAGGAAGCTCATGTCGTTTCTCGTCGTCTACTCTCCGAAAAATGAGGGGACTATCTGTATGCGGTTGAAATCGAGGTCATGGTGCATCCTAGCCTCCGACATGGTGAGCCAGGCTTGAGACATGGCAATAAAGGACTGAAGATCGACCCCAAGTCTCACTGGGCTAGAACTCGGGGGCAGAACGCATGTTTTCGAGAATATCGAAGCCATGGTCCCGGAATCGGTCCTAGCCTCGAACGACTTCGAAGAAACATTGTCAGCATAGCCAACAGAAGACCGAAGTATCCGTGACCGGCCAAATATTACGGCAGGGATCTCGGCGCGTATCAATAAGGAACCGGTAATCAGTGAATCAAGAGATCTTTTACCTTTTATAGAATTGTACCTAAAGTAGGACTCCCCTACTATATAAAGGGGGTCTGATAATTCATAAAAGGCATTGTAACACGCATTCCAAGGCAATATATCATTATTTTTCCTGTTATTAGTTCTTTTGCTTTCGTTCGTTAGTGCTTGTTGTTACGAACCCGGATCGAGAGCAAATATTTCACTAAGGCTTAAATCGTCCTCCACGTGTGGTTTGAGCTTACTTCATCCTTATTTATTTAATTTATCTTTATTTACTGCTTTGTGTCAAATAAATCCGTGTATCCTTAAAACCACTTACAAATTTAATTGTTATCCGATTTTGAGGGTAAACAACAATAATAATTAATAATGTTAAACATTTTTTTAACGAGTGTACTAAAATCGTAAATGACAGATAAAATGACTAGAGGGAGTAGTAAAAAGAACATTGATATGTATCAAATTGATCTCACTATCTAAGTATCTATCTAATTGGGAAAACCCCCCAAATAATTCATACTCAACAAAATAAATATTTAATAATAGGGATGAGGTCAAGTCAACTAGTCAAGCTAAGAATCTTCACATTTTTATCTTCTTTTTTTCTTTTTATACTGTCTAAATGAATGTCGTATTCCATACTTAAAATTAAATAATTGAGTCATAAATATCATAGACTATGAGACCTTAGCCCAAAAGATATAGTGGCAGTGTTAAGATCAAGAGGTATTAAATTTGAACTTGATGCGGTTCTATTTAATGATATTAGGCAAAACAGGGTACAAACCGAATCGAAAAATTGCATCAAAACAAAAGTCAAATCAAATCGATTAAAAAACCCGACTTTGTTTGATTTGATTTGGTTTGGTATTGAGTAATAAAATCGAACCAACCCGACATATAAATATATTATTTATATATATACTTTTAAGATTTTATATAAAATTTTCTTTAAAAAATATCTAGAAATATTTGGGATTCTCTTACGGGATATAAATTTTAATAGAATATGAAGTGCTCCATATTTATTGACCTTAAATAATGGGTTGTATGATCACTTTCTTATCAAGTGTTACTGAAATGCGTTTATCTCTTTGTTCTTCCATATTCATATCATATGTTAAGATCTATTAAATTCTTATATCTTTTTCGAATGTGAAGTGATTACTAATATTTAGGTATCATATTGATTTTTATGTTTAATTACTAGATTCGGTTAACCTGAAAGTATACATAAACGAAAAATTATTGTCACACGACTAAAAAAATAACTATTATGTGTTACTAATAGAATTCTCCCATAAGAATATTTTAATCGATAATATGTTTGTCAATTTTTTTATATTTTTACTAAATATATATTTACTTATCAAATATTTAACAAAATAAGATTAAAATAATATTTAAGTAACAAAAAAACTGAAAACCCAAAAAATCCGACAAAACCGAACCAATCCAAATCGATATAGTTGGTTTGGTTTGGTTTGGTTTTGATAAAAACCGAACCAACCCGGTCCATGTATACCCCTAGGCAAGACATAGAGACGTTTCAGTTTATCGTAGACGTGGCCCTTGATAGGAGTTTGTGGAGGTTGAGAATTAGGGTTGAGGTTAGATAGTCAAGTGTTTTCCTTGTACATATAACAGTAGTATTAGTATTAGTTTTGTATTTTCTTAGTCGTAGATTTCTGTTACTAGTTATGGTTTCTTTTGCTTCGATATTCTTAGAACTTGATAGCTCATGTTATTGCTTATTGCTTTTGCTTCATTTTTCCTCTCTCTTTGAGCCAGGGGATCTACCGAAAACAGTCTCTCTACTTTCTCTAGATATGGGTAAGGTCTGCATACACTACCTTCCTAAGACCCCACTGATCGGATTCAAATGAGTTTTTTGTTGTTATTGTTGTTGTAGTAGTTTTTAAGCAAATAATTCCAATCCCTACCAGGAATTTTTCAAGTAATTTGGGTTTCATTGTGATTAAAAGAAAATATAGACCTAATCAAGACTTTTCCAATGAGATATTTTTTTCAACATTATTCCTACATTAGTTGTAATGTAAAACACAAATTAAATGCACTAAAGCTGGTCATGTGATAATCCTTGAATAAAAGAAATTTGTGATATTGAATGATGTAGACTATTCTAGGAGTAATTGAATGCGTAGCTGTGGGCTGTTGCCTTAATTACAAATTAAAGATTTGTTGATTGTTTGTAGGTGATAATTTTGGATAGAAGAGCTAAAACTGATAATAAATAGTTCATATGTTTGAGGGAAAAAAAGTGATGAAAAGCTGTTCTTTTGTTTGATGACTAAAATACCCTTAATTTTTTTTATAAAAAATTAAAAAGTTTCTTTATAAAGATAAGGATGAACAACGAATATGCAACGAAGAGAAAGTTAGAAAATTATTTCGGGAAAAGGTTTTATGAATTAAAAAATATTGTCAAAGATAAATTAGTAAAACTCTTTGTCAAATTAAAAATGCTTATAAGCTGAAAAACTATAAGTTGGGGATAACCAACTTATGATTGATTTTAGCTTATAAGTACTTTGTATGTTCACCAAACGTATAGATAAGCCAAAAAATACCCTCATCGGATACACACGTAAAAATCATTTGGTAACGTGATTCTATGCCTATTTGTTAGTCCCCCAAAAAACATAATTAGACATTTTAAGGTTAATTAGGTTGAGTCTACATTTCTCACTATGTAAATAAGCTCTACATATAAATCTCTATACTCATAATTCCACAGCACAATCCCACTGCATCTATCAAAAAAGTACAGTGACATTATTGTTTGTAGAGTCAAAATACTCATTTGTCCCGAAAAGAAGGACGTTATTAGTATTGAGAGTCAAACAATTTTTCTTTAATTATAGGGAAAAAAATCTTTAATTATTTCCAAATATTTTAAACTACACGTAATTGGTAGTACAGCTTATGTAGTTCGTGAATTTGTAATCTTTATTTTAGAAAAAATAAAAAAACCTACGTCTGAATTCATAGAAAAGATTAGATGCAGTGCTGAAATCCTTACATTCTTTTGGGAGTGGGAGTAATTTTTCTTTGGTTATGCTTTCTCATTTTTTTAACTACAAAATTAATGACTTATAGTAGTACTCAAATAATTTTCTAATGTCAGACAATATGCTCTAAGTATTATATCAACACCAACCCTCAAATGATGAATGGACAGTGAGTTTTAGCCCCTGAAATTGAAGAATAGCCATTGACATGGAGATGCAATATTTATTTAGGAAACTACCAGCTATGTCCATTTATAAGTAGTTCATTATAAAAATTAGCCAATTCATAAAATATTATTAATATTAGTCAAATATTACTAATATTAGCCAATTAGCTATTTGTAGCAAAAAAATGTTAAATTTTTGCTTTCTTTTGAGTGGGTGTTATTAGAATAGACTGGGTACATTTTAAGGAGCTTGAATCTCAGTTTTGGGATGATTTGGTGAAGTTTGATGTGGTTTGAATTGAAAATTCGAAGTAAAAACAACATGAAAAAAAATAATATGTGTATCACACTGTGTATCATTTGTGTATCATATTTGTATCAATTGTGTATATCATGTATATCCATGTATACATGTGTGTGGGATACATGCGTGATACATGTTTGATACATGTGTCGCAGAAAAAAAATTTGAACTCGATTTAATTACGAATTTTGATACAAAACCAGTCCAAATCATCTCCAATCTTCCTCAAATTTTGTATATTGACTTATCTATATGTTTTCAATGAATTTCAACTATACCCATTGAAAAAGTTCCTTTTTTGCTTAGATTTTGGAATTTTTTTTTTTTTTTTTTGGTATTTCATCACCTTATTTGCTACCTCATCCATGAAATTTCCTTTTCGTCTTGTACCTAATGTTGCTAATCACGCTTAAAAATATGGAATGTGATTTTTGCATGTGGTTCTTTAAGAGAAAGAACCTTATTTATTTGGTTTTCCAATTATTATGTGTTTGGCTAGTTTTGAAAAATCTATGACTAATGGCTAAAGTTTGGTAAGTTGAGACTTATTTGAGACATTTGTGTAAGTTTTCCCAATATTTACATGTGAAACTCCAGCATAGTATTCAAGGAATTTCACTTGTAAAAGTTAAAACTTCCATAACAGTGACTATTTTTCAATTACAGGGCCGAAAAATGAGTAGCCTATGCTATTACTATGCTACTTCAAAACTTGAACTTGTTGTGTTCTCACTTGCATCCTATGAGAATTTTAAATGATCAAAATAAATAGACAAACAAAGACTAGAAAAAGAAAGCAAGTGTCAAGTGCAAGGAAAGAAAAAGTAAAGAAGCAAACTGAGGCTGGGAAAGAGATATAGTGAAGAGATTTGTGGAATTTTAGAAAAATTAATTCCACCAAGAAAGCTACAACATGTCATATCCTCTCACATGAGGATTATATATTACAAAGACTTGCCATGAGATGCAGCCAACCCCTCCAGACTTCATCTCTTTCCCTATATATCTAGAGCTCCAGAGCTCTTCCTAATAACAACAGCACTTCCTCGGTCTCCGCCTTCCAATTTCTTTTGGCCTTTTCACTTCTCTTCAGTATATGTGTCTTGCTCTGTCCGTCCAGAACACAGCTAATGCCTATGTAATACAAGCTCAACTAATTTCTCAGCAAAAAACAGATGATGTTCTAAGATGTATAAAATGAATTAGGATCAGCAGAACCCAATAATTGTGGTACTGAAGCCATTAGGCTTAGGCTTAGGCTCAGGAATATCCATTCGTAGTTCTCTGCACTTTCTTCTTAAAATTTGTAACGCTGCATTGTGGACATATGTATTCCAGTCCATCTGTCTTTGCATAGTCCTGCCAAAAAAAACCAACAAGAAAGAAACCATACTTCACATCAGAACTCCTCTTAAAAAGGTTTAGGCGAAAGAAGTGATGGAGATAAACACGGTACCTTGAAGGCACCAAGACCTGGTCTTCTGTCACAGCCAAAATGCGCCCACTCACCACAAATCCCACAGTTGACCCAATCTCCAGCAGCACTACTGTAGGAACACAAGAAACATCATGTTAGATAACCATTATACAGCCAGCAAAGAGACATTTGACAACTTGCATCATTCAAAAACAAAACGAAAGGGAATTGACCTGTGACATAACAAGCAGCACTCTCCATCCACATCATCATGGGCCAATTCGTACTCCAAAAGATAAGTCTCGTAATGTCTTTTAAGTGTATTCCCAACACCCTGGGTTCAAGAAATTATTGTGTTAAAAGAGCTGTTCAAGTTTCCACAGGTATACAAAAAATACTAAAGGGTCATTTGGTTGGGAAACAAGTTATCCCATGATTAATTATCCCGGGATTAATTGTTATCCCACCCTCCCATGGGGATAAAAATAACTACAATCCCGGGATTAGCTATACCGCGATTTTATCCCAATCAAACGTGGGATAAGCTCATCTCAAATTTAATCCCGGGTTTAATTATCCCTTATCCCTCGTACCAAACGAGCCCCAAGGTATTGAAAATGAGAAGGTAAAGATCCTCCAGTAACATAGTTCATACGCGAAAGTACAAGGCATCCACAAAACTTGAACATAAGCAAACATACATTTCTCTCAACCAGGTCCAAGTATATGAAAGATCTAGGGTCACATCCCAGGCAATTTTAAGGTTTACAAGTAGCTATCACTAATCCACCCTTTAGTTCAGAGAGAGAAACATGCTTAGTCAAGAAGTTGTCCTTGGAATAGAACAGGCTACGGTATGTCATATTGAGTAAGAGGGCTCACCGTCATCCTATTGGTTACTGTGTGATTTCGCATCTTTGAGAAAACTTGTCCTTTCCAGTTGATGCCATTGCCAACATGAAAGCCGCCCCTTGAAACCACCTGAAGAACATTTAAATTACAAATTACAATGACGATGTCTGATAGTCTTATCATTTTTTCTGCAAGGCAGTACTAAATATATTGATATGCACCCTTGCAGATTTCTGACAGTTCCTCTTAATAAGCAAAAAAGACAAGACCAGAAAGCTCACCTCCCTATACAAGTTAAAGAGGTCAAGGCGTTTGGCGTTGAGAATCGCGTCTGGAAACTCAGCAAGGCCACCTTGAGGAATGAGACGAGTGTGTCCACGAAGAATTAAAAACTGCATTACATCTTTCAGAAATTCCTCCTGTAAATAGGCCGGGAAGAGAAAGAGAGACATGAAAAAATGATTATAATTATCCATAATGTTATAATACAATCAGTAGAGTGAAGTGAAAAAGAGGCATTCGTGCTGTAGTATATTTATTTTTAAAGCACTTGGTGTTAAAGGAAAACCTCTATCAGGTAATGAAAACAAAATAATTTGATTCCATAAGCTTGTGCCAATGGATTCTCATCTTAAAGGACTACAAAAAGTTCGCAAAAAAGCAATACTTCTGACAGATTGAAATAAATTCCTGTAAGGCCCCTATTCATCACATATTCTAAAATGGATGTAGCAAATTATCATCGAAAGATGAAAAGCTTCGCAAATCCCAATGTTTGAAATCCACAACTTATTTTCACTGAAGCTGTAAAAACAGCTAAATGAAATCAATTATTTATACACGGTTTGTCTTTTTTCAAGAATTCAGGTTAAATATGTAAGATCAGATAAATGACTTCATCCGACACAGGAATCACACTCCTTAAGCAAAGTTATGAATGAAAATATATGTGAACGGAAAACCTTATCTTACCTCAGAACACACATGTATTGGACTTCGCTCACAACCATGTTTCTTCAATGGAAGAGGATTCAAGGATATAATTTGCTTAGCCTGATGTGAGCTTGATGCTGACTTCCGATGGGTAACAGGAGTTACTCCAACACTGCTGCCCTTAGCTGAGGAAGGAATGATAGGCAGATTAGTTTTCACCTGGTTCCCATCAAGGCTCTCCACTGCTGAAATCCCTGAAAAGGGTAGCATTTTTTGATGACGAACATGAGGAATGGGCCTCATAGCAGCAACTTTGAGTTTTTGTCTAGCAGTCACCAGGGGAGTTGCAACACCATTCCCTAATCGACTTTCATTCTCTTCTTTCACAGCCAAATGATTTCCAGATGCTAAACCATTTTGACAAATAGCACTTGTTTCTTGATATAAATTAGGCCTTTTTCTGCTAGGAGCAGGCGGTCTTAACCATGATGGAGGATTGCCAATCTTAAAGTCGTAGGAAAATCCATCCTCCTGCCCTTGCTTTGTGCAGAAGAAAAGAAGCCGTTCAGCATCATCTTTCTCAAATGAAGCTACAGCTAATCCCTGAATGCTAGCAATGCCAAGTGCAACTAAACTACGATATGAAACATCAGGAGCCAATTGCCTCAAAACCTGAAAAGAACAGAGCATGAAGAAGCAAGTCATAAAGGATAACTAAAACCTTAAGCAGGCAGTAAACACCGTCCATAATGAAAATATGAGAACCAATAGTGATCCTTGATTAAAATATAGAGAGCAGCTTTTCCAATAGTGCAACAAATCGCATACAACATTTACAAATCAAATAAATGACAGAGCCTCTAATCCAGTATCCAAATATACACCAATCTCGTACGTTATTATTTCAGCACAAAATCCTTTGCTGGTACAACCATGAAGAGCTGACTAAGGAAACTTAGAAGAAGAACAACGACTAGATAAGCCAATACATTAAAACATGGTGTGGAGCCAAGTATTTGGACTATCCACTATCAAATGTGTAGACTTATCCTCTAACATACTAAGCATCGGGAAATTTTTATAAGAACAAATATGAAGAGGAGAGATAGGGAACTTAGTAAAATCATGTATACTGATTAAATTAACCGTTATGTTTAAGGAAAAACTGGAGCCAAATTGATTGGATTCCTGCATCTCCTCAAGGGGGTATCGCTCAAGAAAATTCAGCAAGGGACAAAAAAAGAGACAAAAAAGCAGTGCAAATTAAGAACCTGTGAAGCCCATGTAGGAACCTTCATGCAAACTTCAAATACTTCTGACCCACAAGCTACTGACATTGATCTCCGAGGCTCAGATGTAGGTGGTCTATTTTCCTCATCACTTGGCAGTGCATGAACCAGTCCACTGCTTTCAATGATTTCACTTTTGATGTGATTCTCTAATAGCTGAGAATTAACAAGGAAATATACATCATCCAATCAGTCATCGGTAGGCTATTAAAGATCATTAAACTGTACATAAACATACTGCTAAATTTACCAGATCATCAAAACATGTTTGAGCACTGCCTGAAACTAGAAGTGAGATATGAGCCGAACTACTGGTCGACAGATCACATCGCATGGTCACGACACCACGGGAAAATGCACCAGCCTGAAGAGGTGGTGGAAGGGCACTGCATCAGAGCAGCAATATTAGGGCACAAAAGTTTGACAAGAGAGTACGCATGAACTGAAGGAATTTAATCAGGGAGTGTCATATTGTTGCTGTCTTGGTGACTGACAACCACAAGAAAAATAAGCAAACCAAGCAGAGATTCATCACAAGAAATAAGGTAATTAGCTATGAAACATGTAATTTTCCTTGTCTTAAAGATGCAATCAACAGGTGGATTAATTTCTAAGATGCCATTCAACAACATCAAACTTCAGAAAAGGAAAACAACAACCCCATGAAGCAGGTCTGGAAAATAAAATGTTACAACACCACAAGACCCATTCTGAAAAATACCTGACCCGGTTATGCAGCTTACTCCCTCGCATCTGGAGCAAAAAAAGAAAGAGAAGTTTTTTCAGTACTCAATCACGTCTTACCTAGAAAAACTTTAGTGATTTCAAGAACATCCTACTCTCTCATTATTCAATAGACAAGCAGAAGATATAAATTTATTGTTCTTTCTGTCCATCCGCACACCACATCGAAGAGATCAATCAATCTATCATTCAAGTGAAGAAATCTTCCTCTGCTCTTCAACATCTCTTTTAAGTTTTAGATCCATCAACGTTTCCTTTTCACTTTCCTTTTTTTCTTTTTTTCTTTTGATAAATGGTGGTGTTCAAGCTAGCTTGCGCGCATCTTAACTGTTACACCAAATTCCTGCTACCTCCCACTAAAACAAGTACCAGGTAACTCTGTCCACCAAGGCTTAGGCAGATAAAAAAAAATCACCTAGCGTTTTTGTCTCTACTAGGATTTGAACCCTGGTCTCTCATGGTTTTCACTCACTTCATCAAAACAAGACCACACCCTTGGGTGCATCCATTAACATTTCTTTAAGCTCAAGAAAAGAGAATATCAGCAGCCTGCCACAGAAAGTGGAAGTGTGCCATTGCTCAGGTTACACAAAATTCAGTTTCTACGAGAAAGGTGATCAGACACACTTATCCAGATGGCAGGAAGCCAAAAAGAGGACAAGTCTGAGCAGCTCAAACAAAGAAACTGGTGTCAAATGACCATCATCTGAAGTAGTTACAATATCACAAGGAAGCACTGCTGCTGTTTCTTCAAGAAATGAAAAATATGTTGCACAGAAACAAAAAGGGGCAATGTTGGTGTAACTTACTTCAATGTTTAAGAGGGCATTCAGACCATCTGCTATAGATCCCAACAAGCATTCATCCTGAGCACAAGAAGCCATTCATAACATAAGCAAACCAAATATAACATGATACAACTTAGGAGAAAAGCTATGAAGAATATATTATAAGTGTGCTCACGCGCGCGTAAGCTGTATTCTTCAGCAATACATAAAGCGCGTAAGGAAAAAGGAGTAAGTTTGACAAACATATCGCATTCATAGCAATAGTTAATTTTTCAAAGTTCTTTGAGTTGTCCAGGGAGTTAATTTGATGGTTTAGATCAAGTTCAGAGAGTTCAATTCATAAAGAAATTATCACATTGTTGTTAACTTGCAGTTGTAATAGACTATCCAACTTTTTGGAGTTTGTTTACGACAGAGGATTTCGTAAAGAAAGGATCACATTGTTGTTTCAACTTGAATTAATTAATGGATTTATATTCTTGGAAGTTGTTCACATAATGATTAGAACATTATCACTCAAAGAAGTGATAGGAAGAGTACATGAAACCAATCCCATACCAGTGAGCATGGCGTTCCACAGATGAGAAACCTCATGTTCACATCATCATCATAGATCTTTATGGCAGGAAGAGTATCAGAGTTGCTTTCTTCATCATCTTCAGGACCTGCCTCAGGCGGAGGGACATTGATTTTGGGAGGATCACCAAGCAGGTGAGGAACCAGCTTTCCACTGGCCATCTGGCTCATCTCAGGGACAATGAGGTTGTTTCGGACACAGTAAAGCCTGAAGGATGCATGTGCAAGTTGGAAAGCATCCCAAACATGACAAGTTGAACTGCAGACACAACCAGAAGACCTCTTGAATCAATTCCTTAATCCTCAAGACATACAGATGTAAAATTAAATCATGAATAAATTTCATCACAGTTAGCTCTCTGAGCAATGCAATGTGGAAAAGAATTAAATTGCATGGTCAGCTGACTCAAAAGTAGCTACTCCATCTGTCACATTTTATGTGACGGTGCTTGACGGGCCACGGAGTCTAAGAAAGAAGGAAAGTCTTTTCAAACTTATGGTACAAATCAAGTCATAGATATTTGTGTGACTATAAATCATCTTATTAAGGGTACAATTGAAAATTAAAGTTAAAATACTTCTAAAAAATGAAAGTGTGCCACACAAAATGGGACAGAGGAAAATAAACATGGGGTGCACCGGTTGAAGCTTGCCAAAGAAAGTCTTTTCACTTAATACAAAACATAAAATGGGACAGACAGAGTAGTATTTATTTGAACGATGTAAGACTCTAAAGAAGGTAAAAGAGACCTTGCAACATTCAAATAAAACAGAAGGTCAAGAATGTCAGAAGAATCAATATGAAAAGCTCTGTGAAGTCTGACACTAAGCCACCATCAACCTAGACAAGAGTGCAGTGTAAATCTTGGACAAATGTAGCAGACTTGGAAAGGATTAGAATGGAAAATTTGACAATGATCAAAGCAGCAGCAAGAAATGGCTTAATGGGAATGTACAAATGTAGATAGTTCTGTAAAAGGGTTGCGTGGCCACATTATTGAAGTCAACTGTTAGGACATCTGTTATTCTCTAGCACAGAGAACTAGGCACCAAGAGCAATGAATACATAGGCAGTCCAGAATAATGCATCAAATAACTGTACAGCTTGAGTCAACGGTAAGAATACCTCTGTGCCACACATAAGAATGCCTGCCGAAAATGGGATGCTGCATAGCAGGAAAATGCGCTCTTCCAGTACATCACATACGGAACACCCTACAAATATGAACATATTGGTGGAACCAAAAGAACCATCCAGAAAGTTTAAATCAGGAGATTTGACCAGATCATCAGATGATTGAACGAATCAAGGCAATGTCTCACCTTAGCATGAAAAGCTTCAGCCAAGTTTTCTCCATTTGGGAGCTCCAAGTAGACCTGTAATTGGATCATTAAGTAAACAACAGAAGAACTCATACTAACACAATTTCCTGTCCAATTACTACAAGTGTAATTCAACCATTGGAACATTTCAAAATAATTGAATCTTCAGCAGAAAACACCTTAACTTAACCACTAAAAGGTGACTTGGCTTTTATTTCTAAGCCATTTTTAATTAAGTGCACTACTGATTATTAGATATTTCAATAAGCCATTTAAACCTTGAATTCTTTTTCTTTTTTGTTGTTGGATAACTACCTTGAATTCTATCTTGCTACGACAATAGTAGTTATATCATTTACATCACCGGTTAGAGGAACAAACACCAATGTGTACACAAGACACAATCCAACATATTAATGCACAAACAACCATAATCTCATGATCTCAACTGCTAGACTGAAAACATCACTACAAAAACAACCTTCATTGAAGTAATGCTAAATTATCATTATCCAACCTTCATTGGCTAGCGATGTGTTATCTACATCAGCGTAATTGAGGAAATGCGGGTCAGCTGTGTTTAATACATGTGTTCTAATCAACTTAAGGTGTTTATTAGGGAAATCGCGAAGTTAGGGGACCAGCCTTACAAAACCATGCATGTGGAGGTGTCCATTTGTGTATTATTTTCTTGACAAAATTATCCAAGACGTATTAAAATCCAATAACTTGGTAATGGCTGACAAAAAAACATGAAATACCAAAGCAGAATTACATGAACTGTTCAATGCAATTAATAAAATTTCAGAAAACATCAGACCAAGGGAAACACAAGAAAATACACTACTAGCACAAATTCTCCTGAACAGAACTAAGGAAGGAAAGTCACATACAGCGGTTGGCAGCGTGGCACTAAAAAGTCCAGAAATGGCTTCCACAGAAGACATATCAACACCTCCCCAAATAAGGGAACCAACTTCATCATTCGAAAGACGTTCTCCTTGCAAATACACAATATTTGGCTGCCACGAATCTAAAACTTTACGAAATTCATCCGTACTGGGGTTTTTCAAAAGTTGCACCTACATTTAGCAAATGATAAGTGACGTAAGAAACCAGCTCACTAGCCAGGCCGATGATGAACCTCCTAATGAGAGGTATCAACCAAAAACATGTTAAATTAGATACAAAACAATTTAAGAACGATACCTACCTCCAAACGCCCTGATGACACAATCTCCGGGAAGCAATATCTCGGCTTACCATCTTTTACATCTGGCTTCTGATCATATTCAGTAGTTTTCCCACATACTACTGCAAGAAGACTGCAATTTTGTCTAGAAGCTCCTTGATTATGAAACATCACTTTTAACCTGGCTCTCCTTTTCTAAAACTATAGATTCACACCTTCAAAGAGTATCTTCCTACAGCAGCCAAAATCCACTCCACCATAATCTTGTACCCTCAATCTAAACCCTTTAGCAAACCCTGCCCCAAAAAACAAAAAACTAAAGCTCTATTATACATGTAGAGAACATATTATTAAACCCAGGAGAGCAAAAGCACCAAACTTTTAATACATGCATAGATCAAAACAAGCTAGCAAGAAACTGCAACATTCTAATCTCAAAAATAACCATAACCCACTTGAAAAATAAAGCTTTTGATCTCAATAACAACCTAATTCATAAAATTACGCATACTCCACTTGAAAAAAATAAGATTTTGATCTCAAAAACAACCTTAATCCAGAAAATTACACATACCCACTTAAAAAAAAAACAAGATTTTGATGTCAAAGATAACCCTAATCCCCAAAATCAACGAATAATCAAACGAGCAGGGCCAAAAAAACAAAAAGAAAGGGAAAAGTCGAACTGGGTATAAGCAAAAAGGCACTCACCAGATAGAGAAATTAGAAAAATATCGAGGACCTCCGTACATTAGCTCCAGAATCCACCCCACGAATAGAGTAAAGAATGAAACCCTAACGACCCTTTTAAAATTTACTAACAACTAATCAATGTAGAGGAAAAATAAATAGATTAGAATAGGGAAAGTAAAAAAGTTCGTCTGATTTAAGAATCTTTTTTCCTATCTCTTCTTTGCTGTTAATTAGTAGTATTACCTATCCCCCGAGGGATTGGTATCAATTGCTAAATCAACAGTCAAGAAAAAAAGAAAAGTGAATAAATAGTTTGTTCTTAAATTTTAATCTTACGCATTCTAAAAAAATTAACTTGGTTTTGTCTTAGGTTTTGAGTAACAACATTACTCAAGTCAAATAAATAAAAAGCGTAAACAGTTTCTGAAAAATACCACAAAAAGCTAAGAACAAAATTAGAATAAGAAACCCAGAAACAGAAATGTTCTTAGGAAGTCAAAAAGAGCATAAAAGGCTGAGCTAACTTAATTAAGCCCAGAAATTATTTTAGTTCAATTGTCATCTCAAATCAATGCAACAACACTGAGTAACAACACATCTTAGGAGTTGGGGGAACTTTTTATTTACTATAATATGTATTTCTTGCTACATGTTATAGGGATTGTCAATAATTCGACCAGCTTGATTTTGTTATGCTGCTGATTATTTCTATTTTAGTTTACATAGAAGGAAATGTAAACTAGCATAGCATAGTATGTATTAGTTTTGTTATTATTAATCTCTTATTTATTAGTGATTTTTAATTTATGTTTAACTAATACTTGTATTAGTTATATGTTCTATTCAATATTATTCTTATACATAGCAAAATATGGCATTAGTATATATAAAGACAGAACTGTCATTTCAAAATCTTTAATACACCAAACAAAACAGTCGATAAAAAATAATCTCAATATAATTATTCATCATAATTAATCCCAACATTATTAATCTCATCATTACTAACGCACCCTATTCGGTTCTATTCTTATACACCGTATCAAACGACCCCTAGCCTTAAGCTTTAGTCCACTTATTTGATCATCCATACAAATAATAAGGGGTCGTTTGGTATGATGGAAAAGCAAAAATAATCCTGGAATAAAAATTTAATACCGCTTTATCCCTTATTTGGTTAATAATCCTAGGATAAATTATTCTAGAATTAAAAATAGTATTGAGATAATTTATACCTGTTAGAGGTTAGAATATTAATTACATGACAAGTTATTCCTGGACAAAGCAGTAAAATTAATAATCTCAAGATTAATACAACATACTAAACAGTCAATGAAAAATAATAGCAGGATAACTAGTCCCAACATAACTAATACCAGTATAATTAATCCCAACATAACTTATTTTCAAATGAAAGGACCCCTAAATGAAAAGAAAGTGTTTAACCAAAAAAATAATTTTTGTGGTCAAAGTCAATATTAGATAAAATTCTATTTTCTGGTCAAAGTCAATATTAAAGAAAATCGAATTTCTAATAACCAAGTTTACTTTACTTTCCAAAGATAAGAGAGTAAAATAAGAGAGTAAAAAGCAATTGAAATTCAATATTCAATAAACGAAAGAAAAAAATCTTATTGATGATCGTTGTTTTCTCCCAAGAATTGTGAACATGAATCTTCAAGTAAAAATATAAAAGTAAAAGATTGATTGCATATATTCCTGAAAAACAATTTCTTAAATGGAGCCGTAAGTTAATTGGATTAATGAATATCGAATATCAAAGAAGTAAATAAAAAGAAATTAGTAAAATAAATTTGAAATTTGCCGTTTCTAGATGTTCATAATATGTAAATGAAAAATATACAAATGACGATAGTCTTAAAAGTTCAATATGGTCTTAGCTGCTTGCACAAACATTAGAATTTAGAGACTAAAGAGTATAAACCAAAAGTCGAATCAAGAATGGTATAGGTGAGGAAGTTTGGTTGCACTTTGGAAGCAACTTGTAGATTATATTCTAAAGTTAACATTATTCATAAAGTAAATTATGTTAAAGTATCATTTAAATATGAGTTAATTGCAGATACACCATTTATATTTTAAAATCAAGTACTTAACAATAAAATGTTATGCATATGGTAATTAGTTGTGTGATACTTTGATTATCTAGGGTGTGACGTGTTATAAAGGTGCATTTATGATAAATAAACCGATATAAATTGAAGTAGAATAATCTAAAGATAAATTGAAATAAAAGATAAAAATAGTCCAATATACTTTGTATTATGAAAGTTAGGGAAAAAAAACAATAAACTTTTCTCTTCATTACTGTTTAGTTTTCTTAGCTATTCATTTACATTGTTATCTGATGAAGAGAATTCTTCGTTTTGAAACATGCATCTTTCAAAAACCTTAAATAATAAAAGTGAGAAAACTAGTTGACAAGTATATTAAGTTTAAAAGGAATCAATGCATCTGAGCTATTTTTATTTATTGAAAATCTCAATTTACGTTCACTTTTTTGAATGTTTTACTCAATTAAATTTATATATTTACGAGTTTACTCCTTATATTTTAAAATCAAGCACTTAATTTTCCAAATCGCAACCAATTTGAATATGTATTTACTTATTTTGAGTCAGTTATTATTGACATTCGTGTTGTTATTATCATAAATTAATAATCGTTTTCACTTAATTATTATTGTTAATATTTTTATTTATCATTTTTGTTATTATTTGTTACTAGTCTTAGAGTACGCGCGTTGTGCGTGTTACTCTATCTCAATAAATATAACATTTCCAGGAATTACATAAATATTATATTAAAATTATGGTTGAATTATAAAATAAAAGTTGAAATTAAAAATTTAAATTTCTAAAAATAATAATTGTTGATCCTATTTAACTAACTCAATAAAGAACGAAACTCTATCCCATATAAGTTCTTAATCATCTCATTCAATTGACAAAAGACGTGTTCTTTTGCTCACGAGCAAAATGCAATTTGTTCTATTTCTTTAATATATAATAAATACCATAAGAATTATTTCCAACAGATTAAAAAATAAATTACTATCGCAAAAAGTATATTCAACCGCTACATTATAGTTAATATACTTTTTATTTTTAATTCTCTGTGTATGAATTTATTCAAGGGTTTTATAGGATTTTGCATTTGATGCTTATTACTATATTATAATCAATTTTGGATTATTTTTTTATTTTCTCCACCACAAATGCCCTTCCTATATAATATCTAATTTGTGTATCTAAAACTTTTGTCAGCTGAAAAGGGTTTACTTATAAGATGAATTTGGAAAGAAATTGAATGGAATTTATTTTTTAATTCGTTAATTCAAAATTTTAATATTTATTCTTGTGATGACCCAAAAAGTCATCTTATGTTTTAGAACTCGAATATGCGCTCTTAAGCCTTAAAAATCTCATTTTGACCCTCCTTGATTTGCGTGCGCAGTCCGGGCTTGTTTCCGAAAAGCTTTTATGTTGAAAATTGATGATAAAAAAAATTGCCTTAAAAGTTGATTTTAGTTGACTTCAATCAATATTTTTAGTAAACGGGTCCGAATTCGTATTTTGACGGTCCCGGTGGGTCTGTATTAAATTATGGACCTGGGTGTATGCCCGGAATCGAATTCGGAGGTCCCTAGCTCAAGTTATAAATTTTTGATGAAAATTAAAAGTCTGAAAATTAATTATTTCTAAGAATTGATTGATGTTTGGCATTGTGAGTACCATGTCCGTATTTTGGTTCCGGAGTCCGGGTAAAATTTGGTGAGAAACGGAGTTGATTTGACGTGATTCGGACGTCCAGTTGAGAAGATAGGAAATTTAAAGTGTTATTGAGAATTTCATTTGATTTGGTGCTAAATTCGTAGTTCTAAGTGTTATTTTGGCGATTTGATCGCGCGAGCAAGATAGTATGATATTTTTAGACTTGTGTGCATGTGTTGATTTGGAGCCCCGAGGGCTCAGGTGAGTTTCGGATAGGGCACGGGATGTTTTGGACTTTGAAAAATCTGATTTTCTGCAGATTCTATCCTTCTTCGCGTTCGCGAAGGTCCTCTCGCGAACGCGAAGAGTAAAATGATGAGGCCGGAATTTCTTCTTCGCGAATGCGAAGGCTTGGTCGCGAACGCGAAGCGATGGGGGCATTACCCTTCGCGAACGAGTAGTGTTAGGCACTGGGGAGAGTCAGCCTTTTCTTCATCGCGAACGCGAGCAATGTCCCGCGAACGTGAAGTCCAGTGGGGGTAGCCTACGCGAACGCGAGCACTTTCTCGCGAACGCGAAGGCTTGGCAGCCAATGCTCTTCGCGAACGCGACAGTGGCCTCGCGAACGCGGTGCACACTGTCTCCCAACACTTCACAGAATCCAAAAACGGGATTTAGCCAAAAATTTATTTTTCTCAAAAATCAAATGGTGAGAGGCGATTTTTCAAGAGCCATTTCTTCCCCAAATTATTGGTAAGTGATTCTAAATTATTTTCTTTCAATTACTCATTATGTTTCATGAATTATCAACCTAAAATCTAGAGTTTTCATGGTAGAATTAGGGGTTAGGGTAGAAACTAGGGATTTCAGAAATTTGGGAATTTAGACCTCAATTTGAGGTCGGATTCCAAAACTAATTATATATTCGGGCTCGGGGGTGAATGAATTTTGGTCCAAACCTCGGGTTTTGACCAAGCGGGCCTGGGGTCGATTTTTTGACTTTTTGGAGGAAAATTTAAAAAATTTAATTTATGCAATATAATTGATTCCTTTAGCAATATTTGACATTATTGAGTCTTTTTTGAATAGATACGAGTGGTTTGGAGGTGAATTCTAAAGAAAAAGTTGTGATTGAAAATTAAGTGGCCTTCGGAGCAAGGTAAGTATTGTGTCTAACCCTGACTTGAGGGAATTAGAAACCTTAGATTATTTGCTAAGTGAAATTCATATGAGCGGCGTATATGTGAGGTGACGAGTACTTATGCGCCGCCAATTTACCCGTATTCCATATTTTTTCGTTTTCTTATATTGTCTCTTTCTTATGCTTAATTGCTATATGCTTATACTAGTGTTGTTAAATTGATCGTCATTATCATGATTACGGATTTTCTGTTGGTAATCGAGTATTCATTTAAAAGTTGAGATTTATATTGTGGAACCAAATGTTGAAGTAAGGTTTATACTTGTTATTCTATCTCCATGTTGTTATTTATGCATTGCATTATGGTAAGGGGGAATGTTAATGCACGAAGGGTGATATCGTGCCATATTGTGAGTGTTAATGCACGAAGGGTGATGTCGTATCATATTGTGAGTGTTAATGCACGAAAGGTGATGTCGTGCCATATTGTGAGTGTTAATGCACGAAGGGTGATGCCATGCCATATTATGAGTGTTAATGCACGAAGGGTGATGCCGTGCCATATTGTGAGTGTAAAAGTACGAAGGGTGATGTCGTGCCGTTTCTATTAATTTTATGGTGAGATTGAGAGTAAAAGCACGAAGGGTGATACAATGCATTTTTCATTTACTGTATTCACTATTCCTGTCGATTCATGGTATATTGACTGCTC